TTTTTTTTTTTTTTTTTTTACAGACTTACCTGCCCCCAAGAGTCAAAGTATAATTTGAATCCTGAGTAAAACTACTCTCTAAAGCAGTGGGTCCCACCTTTTTATACTCAAGGCACCCCTTACTAGATTTGATGCATCCTTTATTAGGCTCAAGACACTCCTCAGAAAATGCCAGCTGTTAGTTGTCATTCATTTCTTGACTAAAGAAACATAATATAGCAGTTTTTTTCTGCAAAGAGTAAACAAAGACCTACAACAGGTCTGAATACTTCTGACACTGTGGATTCCCATTTGAAATCTGTGGGTTTATCGTGTGAATCTTGTTTACACATCTAATAGTGCTAACATTGTGTGACATCCCATGGTGCCCTCAAAAGGAAGTCAATGCACCCCAGGTAGGGCATGGCACCCTGGTTGAGAATCAGTGCTCTGCAGCTTGTTTTGTTTTGATTTTTAAATAAAAACAGATTTACTGGTATGACTGCACCTACTTTATAATCACATGGCTTCTCAACCTTGATCAATGTAACAATGCCAGAAAAAGTGAATAGTGTAGACCTGGCTAAGTGATGCAGTGCATTTGCTTTAATCATTAATAATGCCTTGTGCTATTTATTATTGTGCACTGTTGTCAAAGAAGTTAGGGTAACATATGCTTTAGAATATGTATGCATACCCATCATAGGACACTGTCAGTCCAGCCACTACATGGTTTTCACAGCCCACAAAAAATTGTAGCAGGCCTATAAGGAAAGCAAAAAATGAAATACCAAATCCAAATTTTGTAGCGCCAACCAAGCCCCATTTGTACTTTTTCATTAAAAGTCCTCCTAAGAAAATCCCAATGGCCACAGCAGGTAAGGAAGTTAATCCTGAAAAAGAAAACAAGGAGGACTATTTAATTAATGTGATTGCATCCTGACAGACTCAACTAATTGAATCAGCAAAGGCAAATTGAGTTGGTTGAAAGTTGTAATGCAAAATGTGTGCACGTGTTCATGAATCTCACAAGACCAGGAAAGCTGGTCCCCCAAATTGCCCTTCCCCCCTAAATGTAACATTGTGTTTTAAAAAATTGTATACTGCTGAAAAATGTGTAGTTAGGACCATGCTGTGTCTAAGCCTGTGCAGTGGCTCTGAGTTGTGGGTTTCAGGGCTTGTTTAAACTGGCTCTGTATAGAGACCAGGAGTACCTCTGAGAAGCATGCCCTTTCTACTCATTTCTACTCCAGATGTACCACATCTTAACAGCACAGTAGCCATCTTTGTGCAGTGCTGGGCATGCTCCAGTAAGTCCATATGATATGATAACCTGACAGCAGTTTTGGTGTAGGCTCCAGGTCACTTAAAGTGATTAAGCCAGCGACAGTGTGTGTTTCTCAGAAACGATTATGGACTCGGCATAGAGGCAATGTGGACAAGTCCACAGTTTGGTCTGCTTCAGTGCTGCTCCTGACAAAGCTACAACAGAATGCTTTGTAACTGTATGTATTCAAAATGTCAGGCAGATTTACTTTGGCAGCAACCATTTGCAATTCGGGGTTGGAGATAACAAAACAGGCAGCAATACATTAAGATTGCACTAAGGACAAGATCCACTAAGGAATTTAGGCACATAATAACTCAGTTGCAAAAGGATCTCTTCTATAAGACCTTAAGATACAATTAAATGTACATCAGAACACTTGAAAAGTAATCATTGCACAACACTACTCACCTGTTACGATGTTAGACTTTGATGCTGACTGACCATACTGCTGTTCCATGTATTTTGGTTTGTAAGTCAAGAAACCAACAAAGCTATTGAACTGTAACAGTACAGAGCACAAAAATACGAAGTATATTCGGTTACCCAATACTGCTTTCACAGAAATAAAGAAATCTGAAAGAAAGCATATAAAGATTGTATTTTAAAACATGCTTGGCATAATTATTAGTGGAGAATGGGATTTAAGGCCAAATCCTGCAATCTATGGGAAAATCCCATTGGTCTTAATGGGGTTTCCATGTGTATATCAGAAGGCAGAATTTGGCCCTTGGTAAGAAGAGGCTGACTGAAAATGATAAAACTCAGTGTACACAAATATGCCAAAGTAAGCCCTGGTTTTCTAGTAAAATAGGCTGTTCAGGAAGACCACTTGGACATTAAAGTCAATGGGACATCATGCAGTCAAAAGGGGGTCACCTATAAACATCATTTCTGGAACTATGTGAACTTCCTAGGTTACCCTGTAGTTGATGGCAGGCATGGTGACTGGTGCCTCCTGAGTCTACAGGGGCACCAGACTGCTGATGGGGGAGTCCCCCAGCAGCTGATCGCTGAGCCTGGAACCACCAGCGGTGAAACTAGTGAAGCTGGAAGTGCACTTCCAGTTTCGCAGCAGGCGCTTCCAGGGGGTGCACGGCCAATTTCAGGGGGTGCACGTGCACCTGCGTGCACCCGCTACGCATCAGCAATGCATGGCCATCAGACAATGATGGCCATCATACAAACTAAACCAGAGTAAAAGTAAAATGACTATGTAATGATATATATTTCCTTGCCTTCACCTTCCCATATTTCTGCCCTGAGTACTGCTGTGTGATGAGCAGAAGATACTATAAGCTTGCTTGTGAGGAAAATAATCTTCTGATATTTTTTAAGATTTTCCCTATAAGCACATTTAAATAAATATAACAAATTTAGTTAATTTGGGTCATTTTTTTTCCCCTAGCTGTAATTTGTTCCTAGTGCAAACCTTTAAGTGCTAGTTCTGACCATGTAAATAATCAGTCAGAGAGCATAAGGAAGCCCTGCACTCCCTTGTTGGTATGTGTACAACAGGCTGCAGAAAAATTAAAGGGAGCAGACTTCCCACAATAAACTTACATTGCCGCCATACATTGTATTGGGAGTTATCCAGCCTGACAAAAGATGTGAAAGCACTTGCCTTTCAAAGTTGCTAAGGACTTCATTGGCTTTTGTTTTATAGGGCTGTGCTTCCCACTGTTGTCTTCCTTAATGTTGGAGAGATCAGATGAAGCTTTGTCATTACTTTCCTCCTCTGGCTTTTTCAGACTCTTTGGCAGGAAACAGAACGGTATGGCAGATATGAGGGCAATTACTCCAGCTATGATAAAACCAAGCCACCATGCACCCACCCAACGGGAATCTCTTGGTGTTATGGTGATGCTGCCTACAATAAAGTAAGACAAAAGCAAATTGTAGTAATGAAAACATTTTACCCATTAATTCCAGTAATATCTACATCATGTGTTGGTTAATATTGAGATTTGCCTTGATATTGCAAATGCTAAACACATTTTGCATCATTCAAGGTTCATGTGTCTTGGAACTTGAAAAAGGTGGTGAACAGACAGGATCCATAAATATTTGGGTCTTTTAGACCTTCCTGATTTCTATGAATCTTTTTGCTATAGGACATTGCAACAAGACATCTGGGCTAGGGACAGACATTGAAAAAGTCGGAGCCTGACTTGATTAAATTTTTGCCGGTTACTCTAACCTGCCTAGGTTGAACTGGTTTGTAACAGCATAGACATCCCCTCTGGACTGAGAAAATGCAGTTGCTCAGGCTAGGTGCCAGGGGGTGCTAGAGCATGCCTTCGGCTGCAGGGAAGCTATGCTGGGAGGGTAGGGGGAAAGGCATGTCCAGCCCAGGCTGCAGTGGCAGTGGCAGCAGTGGTGGCAGTTTGGAGGGCTCTGGCCCGCTCTGGGCTCCAGCCCTGCTCCATGCAGTCCACCACAGCTCTGCCAGCCCTGCAGTGCCGTGCACTCCCCCCCACTGGGAAGAGACTCATGCTCCCCAACACCAT